CTATTGGTATGAGGGCCAAGGCATGGAAGTGGAGAAGGTTAAGAACCAGTCCCTCACCAAGTCCAAGCAGAGTGTGGAGCTTGATGCAGACCACTTTGCAGAGGTGGAAAGCAGGCTTGCCCTTCAGCCTGGAGAAGGCAAATTGATGCTGGGCAATAGGAGCTCTGGTTCCAGGCGATCTGGAGATCCACCCAACCCAAAGCCAGAAGATGACCCCCCACCCACGCCAGAGGAACTTGAGGCTGAAGCCTACAAGAAGGCTGTAGGCAGCCTGAAGAAGGCCATCCAGGCTTTGAGCAGCTCCCTGGACAAGGGAGCTGTCTTGAAAGAAAGCCTGGCATCTTTGCCCAATGTGTCTGATGCCACAGTCCAAACACATCTGGCTTGCTTGGATGCAGGCCTGAAGAAATATGGGCAGGCTAAGGCTGCCTGGTTGAAGAAACTGGGGGCCTACCCTTCACAGGCAAAGCCTGGAGAAGGCTCATCTGCTGTGGCACAGCTGGGGGAGCAAAAAGCTTTGTGTGAGGCTGACTTGAAGGCTTTGAACAAGTCATGGGCACCCCTCAAGCTTTGGGCAAGGAATGAAGGGATTTGAAAAGCCTGAAGAAGGCAGATTTTGCAGCAAGTTTTGAAGGAAGCCTGCAGAAGGTAGGGCAGCTGCTGAGACAGAGCTTTGGAGCGCTTGGAAAAAAGGTCGCCCAAGCAAGTGTGTGTGTGTGAGGGCCACCTGGCAAAGGCACATGTTGCTCCCTGCAGCCATTTTTCACTCAAACATGTTTCCAGTTTTGAAGCTAATTCATTGTCTAATTTTGGTTTCTAGCCTGGGGAAGGTATTGGCCAGCCCCAAAAGGTTAAAGCTTTGCATTAATGAAGCATTGCCTAGCTCTGCAAAGCCTGGTGAAGGCAATCAAGAAGAAATTGATGGGTTTGGATCCCATTTGATGAGCTTAGCCATCAAAAATATAATTTCTGCCACTGAGGCCAGCTCCCTCATCAACAAAGGGAGAAGGGCAGGGCTCAAGATCAAGGGACCTTTTCAGCCTGCAGAAGGCAACCACAGGAAAAGAAAAATATTTGGCTTTGAAGAGAAAACCGACAAGAAAGAGCCAGGGGATGGCACCTCTTCAAGAGCATTGACCAGGTGGCTGGCCAGACAAAACAATTGGACTGCTTTGTATTGGGCAGACATTCCCTTCTGGAACCCATCCACAAAGAAAAGGATTGTGTTTTCACACCCATTCCTGTTGCCACATGAGTGGCTGGACGTACCTCTTGCAGGCAGGGGCCTTCCAAGAAGGCCAGCCTGAAGAAGGCAGCTTCTTTCATAAGGAATTGAAGAAGGGATGCAGGGCATGGGGGCAGCCTGGAGAAGGCATGTTTCCGCTTGGTTTGCATGGAGATGGTGTTCCATACCAAGGGAGGATGAACCAATCCACTTTGGATTATGTAACTATCAACTTCCCAGGGTCGAAGTTGCTGAGCCACAAGAGGTTTTTGGTGACCTGTGTGGATTCCAAGTGGTCCTTGGGACATGAAACCTGGCAAGCCATCTGGCAAGTCATTGCATGGAGCTTCCAGCAGCTTGGAGAAGGCAGGGCAGCTTGTAGAAGACATGATGGCAAAAGCCTGGAGAAGGCCAGGCTTAAAATGGCTGGAAAAAGCCTGCAGAAGGCATGCTTGGTACAAATGAGAGGTGATTGGGATTGGAATGTCAAAGTCTTTGGAGCCCCCACATTCAACACAAAGCTGGGAATGTGTTGGATGTGCAATTGCAAGCCAGGAGATTGGCACGCCATGAGCCAAGAGGACAGAAGGAGATACTGCCTGGGGAAGGCAGACTGGCTGGCCAACCTTGCTGCAAGGGAGAAGCCAGCCATGCAGCTTTTCAATTTGAAAGGTGTGTCCAATCAAACCATGTTCCCGGATTGGATGCATGCTGTGGATGAGGGCATAGCAGCTTCAGTGGTTGGCCAATGCCTGAAAGAGTTTGAAAGCCACTGTGCTGGCTCCAACAAAGACGAAAGATTGAATGCACTGTGGGGATTCATCAAAGACCTTTACCAAAAGAACAACACAGATCATGACAAAAGGCTTTGGAAACTCACATCCAAAGATTTTGTCAAGAGTAGCACTGTGCCACCAGAGCTGGATGCTAAAGCAGCTCAAGTTAAAGGGCTCTGCCCTTTGCTGCACCACCTGGCACAAAGGCTTCTGCCTGGAGAAGGCACACCGCACCAGAGAGCTGTCAAAAAACTTGCAAAACTTTGCAGCTCAATGTATACCAGCCTGGAGAAGGCAGATCTAGCACAGCTAGTAAGACATGGCCGCTTGCTGAAACAGCAATGGATGGCTTTGGAAACAGAAGCCCAGGCTCAGGATGATTTTGTCAATTTCCATAGCAAGCCAAAATGGCATTTCTTCGACCACCTGCTGGACCAGGTGCAGGAAGGTCTTCATCCTAAGTCAACTTGGTGCTACCAGGATGAGACCTTTGGCCATCTTCTCCAAGGCTTTGGCCAAAGGAGAGGGGGAAAGAGGAACCCCAGCAGCCATGCCAACAAAGTTCTGCTGGCTTGGATGGCTGAAGAAGAGTTCCCCAGCTTCTTCAAGGCCTCAGCCTGAAGAAGGCAAGAGCTCCCACCAGGCAGCAGCCTGGAGAAGGCATCTGCAAGCTGGCAAAGGACCAGACAGTTTCACTCAACAGCTAGAATTTTGGACAAAAAAAGCCTGCTTGCTGGCTTGCTTGCTGTTGAAATTGAGAAGATATAGATATATATATATAATATATATATATAGTTAATATGCATCTTCCCATGCTGAAGTCTAGAAGCTTCAAAATGAAGCTTCCAGAATGAGCTTCTGGACTTCCAAGAAGCTACTTCTGGAAGCTTCAAAACAAGACTTCTCAGAGAAAAACTTAATTTTTTCTAGAAGCTTCGAAACAGAGCTGCCAGCCTCATTTTGAAGCTTCTCAAAATCGAGCTTCTCAAATGAAGCTTCTCGGCTCTTCAGGGTTAGCGGTTGAGGTTCAGGACGATACCTACTCCGAGGACGACGCCAAAATCTTAAAGCTGTTGGGTATGATCGAGGAGAGTGGTGTTTACCCAGAGTATGATAACACCGAGTGGCAGGAACTCTTCGAGGAGATCGTGTACCGCCGAGCGATGAAAGACTATGATTCAAGGCCGTGTCCTCATGTCTTGGCGAAGTCGATGTGCGATTGACGATATGTCCGCACTGCGTAGCGGTTTTGATCGCGAATGGGAAGCTCACACATGTGGTACCCAAAGAGACAAGGGACCGCAATCAACGATCACCTCCGAAAGATGTCCCAGCCGGTTCTTCCGGTGAAACAACCTCTGCTGCAGGTGCAAACATCGATGAAGTCATCAAGAACGCACGCAAGACAGCCGAAGAGGTCATTGAGATCGAGGAATCCGAAGGAGAGGAAGAGGAGGAAGTTCCTATCATTTTGAAGGAACGACCGGACGAAGCTGAAGGCGAACCCGAGTATCGGGAGGTCCCTCAAGATGGATACGGGAATGAACTTCCGAAGCCTTTCCCCTTCGCAATTGACGAATTGCCGCAAGAAGCTGCGATCCCCATCGACCACAACTTTGCCGTCACACAGCAATTTGATCTGAGGTTGATGAAGTTGATCAAGGGCTTGGCCAACGCAACGTTCGACATCAACTGCTTTGAGAGTCGTGAAGATGTACTGCGAATGTTCGACGATGGACAGCGGCATGACACTCCGCACAATAGATGGCCAATAGTACCGAAAGATCCGGATACTGGGTTTCCAAGACGTCTCAAGAGAGCCGAGGTCGTAGGCATGAGCAGATGGACCGACGACGTGTTTGCAGCAGAAGCGTGGCAGATTTATGAATTCCACGCCAACGTTGTTCATCCGATGATGATCACTGCAATCCGCTGCGGGCTTAGCCACAAGTACCTCAAAGAGGTCGGCAACACTCAGCGTAGCATGAGTGATCCAAAGGCTCGAAAGTCTGAGACCCAGGATGAGATCATCGAGAAATTGGCATTCATCTCAAATTTCATCAGACGCATGATCAAGAAGACCTTCGGAGCGAGCCGATATAGTTACTACCAGAAACCAGATGACGAAAGTGCCGCTCCATACAAATTCATCGACATTAGTCCCGCCATCAAATCGGAGAGGAAGAATGTCACGAAGGAGATCCTCGTTGCATGCCGCTACTATGGCATAGAGGTATCCGATATCCAAGAAAGGAAATTGAAGTCCTTCGAGGAGCAGATCCGAGCGGGAAATCCAAGGAACGTTGAGCTCATCAAGGACTACATTGGCTTTGTCGGCGCTGACTACATGCGACAACTCACGAATGGTTGAGCATTGGGGTCATACCGACATGCCACTTCCGGTACTTCAAGTACTGAGGGATCTCGGGTAATTCATGATGACCGTTTTGGCATCATGGGAGTGAGATAGGATTGTGTCTCACACCGTTGGTAATCGCATGATACCATAGGTAGGTGCACGTTTTCCGCTTGTAGCTCCATTGCCTGTTTGATCCAACTTTCAAGCGAATGCAAGATCTTTTGCTAATTCAATTCAATAGGACATACTGGTTGACCTCCAATACACTTTTGAGAACGTGATTCGTTCTCCGGTTTTTACATCCACTCATCTCCCTTCCCCGTCGAAGTACGGATGTGGGGGGTGTCAATAGGGATGGGGTCCCAGTATAGTCGCTATACAGGTACATGCCATATACTTTTGGCTCAAGTGCCCAACCAGGTAAAAAGGAGCTTTAGCGCGCGAGCTTCATGTTGACCTAAGAGCTAGAACGGGGCCAGGGCACACCTTTCCATCCGTTCACAATATACATATGGAGAGTATATGAGAATATTGTAGTTACTATATGTCTTGCTTCAGAATACTGGACAACTAGATCGGGTGAATTCAACTGAAACCACCCAACGCCGCGACCTGCCAACCAACGCTCAATCCAAGTGACTGCCAAGATCACATTGTAGATACCTCCCGCTGGTGGTGCTGGAACTATCTATGGCTCAACAACCGATGGTCATGTATATATTGTTACATTTCTTTGGTACTTGGTGGTACCTGCAGTAAAATGGCCTTGCAAAAGCAGCTTATAAGCGCAGTTTGTATGCATTTGCTGCGGTTTGACGAACTAGCCTTGTCAGGGGGGAACAACCTGATGCATATTGATGCACTATCTAGAGCTGGCACATGATAATCTTCGTAGTTGGTGTTCAGGAACATACCTATATATGTCGTACGCCGTGGTACTATGTATCTATCTTCTGCAAAGAACGTCACCACAACCCATGTTGGTTCAGCCGTATGTATCGGAATCAATGTCCTTTTCCATTGGCTACCTGATTGATCCTTCTGCGGAACCTTGTGAACAGCATGGTGTGCCCAAAAAGAACACCGGGGGAGTGGGATGAGATTGAGTCATGGCAACAAACAGCCCTGGATAGATTTGCCATCGAATTGAATCCTTGGTGGGCGAGGTGGTTATTAACATGCAGTTTCTATGTATGTATGGTATATTATATGGTATCATATTGTGTTTATCCCCCTCCTCAGCGTCTCACGCAATGGACTCCCGCCTAAGGAGACCAGCAAGTAGCTGGCAGTGTAGCACATGACGAAGGGTAGCCCATGACTGTGTGCCAGGACAGCGGCTATAGGAACGCCTGGGTCTGAAAAAAAAACCACCCGGGTTCTCATCATATCTCAACTGGCAGGCATCTGTTTTTGTCGAAACGTGAGGTCTATGCACATTTCTACTAGTAATTGTACTCGTAGCTTCTTGTTACTAGCAAATCTGCAAGACAATGTGCACATTCCAGAAACCTCCCGTCAACGACGACATGTGTGACAACAACGATGGCACCAAGAACAGCAGCAATAAAAATTACAGTACGGCAACTAAAAATAGAAAGGAACTGCAACAATACTGACTGACTACGTGCCAATCTGTAATTTCATGGAAAATAGTACATGATCTCAAGACAACGGAGTGTCAGAATTCCCACGTACTCTGCAGCAAGTTCATCTCAAGCTTCTTGTCATTCAACAAAGCACCAAGTTATCCATGTGCCCACTTGAGATCCTTCCATTCATGGCATGCGTCAATGTTCTAAGGCAGCGGAGTTTCTCTACACTACACCCAACGTTCTTGGACTGCTCCAGGCATGCTTGGCCTTCCTTCTCACACGACCCCGGTTCCCCCGAAAAAAAAACTGCTTGTGACCCCAGGCCAGACTCCGCGAAGCACTCCCCAGAGAAGCAGCGGAAGGCGGTGAACATTGACCTGGTCTTTGATTTATCTGGTGAAATGTGTCGATCCAAAGATTCTGAACACATATTAACACTTGGGCGACAAGGTTTTGGGATCAAAAGCCACAAGGTTTTGGTGATGTTTCTTCTGAATCCGTGCCAGGGATCTGTCTATCCTCTTGGATGACGGCTACAAGCTGCTGTGAGGTTTATTGAGACAAAGAAGAGCTGCAAAGCTTCCCAAAGGATTCTCTGACCCTGCTCTAGCAGCTTCAAAGTACATCAAAATACAATGTCTGGCTAAATGAATTAGTGCTCATTGCCTCCTCATCAGCATCAGCATCCCTCATTTTGACCCCCAACGATCTTGCCGCAAGGTACTCGCCTCCACGACTTGAATGTGCAATACGATCCTACGCCATCTAGGGATTGTGGTTCTCCATATTCACAACGTGGTCTTGGATGTGCAAATCGACCTCGATATTTAACGCTACTAGGGGCTCCTGGCAGGATCTTGTTCCCTCCTGGAAGTACTACTAGGAGCGATCGGACGCTACTAGCAACAAGAAGGTTCTTGCATCGCCAACTCCTGCGTGTGTTTCACTCGGGCTGAGCAGCGAAGGAATGTTCTCGAAATGCTTCAGCAAGTCGTCCTGCAGAAACATGGCACATGGGCAAGTTTCCCAGCGGTGACTTTGCTGAGCATTTGGCAGGTCACTGAAGAATTAAACTTGGAGCTCAGAAAACTGGGAGACTCTATCACCGGACTGGCGAAAAAAGGATTCCCTGTACCCACAGCAGTGAAAAAGAGAAGCGCTACGTAGAAGCCCGATGAGCCCTGGTTCGCGGAAGACATATTCTGAATAATGTCTGTTGCCTAAGTGCCATGATGGATTTAGGATGATTTAGGGGGCCTGCGGTGGCTCGCCAGCTGAGAAACACTTCTGTAACTTCAGTCTGGCACGGCAGCTCAGGGAGTCGGGTCCTTCAGTGAGGTGTCTCTTCCAAGAGTCATGGTTGCAAAGCCACTGATCACCTTGGATTGAAAGGAACGTCCTTCGAAAAGTCACCAAACCGGTATTGGAGAAGCTGACTTCTTCAGACAAACATTCAAGTCCGGAGGTTCTCCAAATGGCGAAGGTGACACTGTGCGGAGTGATCTACCCACACCTACCGAGACTTTCAGCAGCTTGCACTGCGCTGCTCTATCTCCAAAGCGAGCTCGATTGGCACGCTAAAAAGGCCGGCCTTCGGTTCGCCAGCCCTCAGCTTTAAACTGCCCAAACAAAAAGGTGCCGAAAGAGTCCAAGGAACGGCAAAAGACGGAAGAGTGTCCCTGTGGTGTTTTTTTTTTTTGTGTGCGTTTTATTCCAGCCACATGGCAATATATAAATGAAGAAATCGGCTGACGTGGCTGGTTTGAACAACCACGGGGCAAAACCGAGTCCACAAAAATGGCTCGAAATTCTTTTGCCACAGCTGTGTTCCATCCCCTGTGTCGCTCCACACCTCTGTCGCTCCCAGTCGCATAAAGCACCGCGAAAAGCAAAGCAAAGGACCTTGGAGGTTCAGACGTCTCTGATCTCCACAACCGAAAAGAAACATCGAAAACCCAAAGACCACGGCTAGAATCTCTCTTCCCATTTGGAACGGAAAGGGTAGTTTGTGGGATGTGCTTCCCCCTCTTAGGCTTAGGATGGCTTAGGGTTTCGACCACAAATCATCTCCACGAGGTCAATGAGGTCTTTGGTGCACAACATTTCCGTCATCGGCGACGATCGGTGCCTGCGGTGAAGCGACACATCCGTTGGCCGACTTGGTCGCCCTCTTCTTTGGAATGACCCACACAACGGGTGTGTGTGTGCAAAAGAGAGAAAACGACAACAATGCCATACAATGCCTCCGGATTAGGAGTAGTTCAACCCATTCAACCGAGTCAACTGAAAGCCAAAAGGAAATGACAGCATTGTAGCAGTGAGCCTGTTGGGATCTCAAGTTGGCGAACCTCTAATGACCTTGAGTCTAATATTCAGGAATATATATATATATTATACAGTATATATATAATGACTATGTGGCTCCTGACGTCTCCAAATCGAAGCCTCAACCTACTGGGCCCCGTGGAAATCGTCAAAACACTCCACTAATGTCTGTGACACAGTGGCCATCCCAGTGGCCCTGTGAACATGTGGCTCCGGACACCTCCGGACAAACGGGTGTCCCTCCGGTCGCTCCGCAGCGACCGCGGAGGATCCGCCTCGCACACCGGAATGCCACTCGTCCCAGGGGCAAGAAGAGCGTCCGGAAGCCGCCCACCAAGCCCTTGACCATGAGTCGGAGCTCCTGAAACAAAGCAACGCCGCCGTGCTGGAAAGCTCTGTCGCCGTGTGGCGCAGAAGGCGCATAGGTGGCACATGCACAGAAGCAATCAACAACAGCACACGGATGGTAAACAAGACGAAAACCTTGATCCATCACGAATTGACTGACAAACAATCTATAAACTGCAGAATATTTGATGTGACTTGTTCATGGCAGCCGCCACCTCATTTTGCTCTACAAGAGGGTTTTGCATATTTCACTTCTTCACAATTGTCATCCTTCACCACCCTAAACCAGGGGGTGCCAATATGGTGCCAATTGTGAATGTTTCGTTTCATGGGCAATGCAGAATCCTGCTTTGGCAACCCAAAAGCAGTACCAAACGGCGGCCAGTACAAGGCCACCCAATTCGCAGCGAGGACGTTGATGGTGTCTGGACTCTGAGCCCGCACCACGTTGATGTGGAAACCTTGGGGGTCTCCTCACATCAATGCCTTCCTGGGATCTGTTTTGCTTGTTTGTGACAAAGTTGGAGGAAACAAAAAACATTTGGAGAACTTTGGACACACACAAGCAAAAGGGAACAAATAGTATGTTTATTTACAAACTGCTAGCAGCTGCTAGTTATGCTGAGCTACCTTTTTATAATATCCACAGCTCTTGTAGAGTCTGTGGGTCCCTTTCATTCTTGGGGTGGCATACCCTAAGCCCCAAGCACGCCACCAAGCTCTGCGCCTTCATGTACTTGACTCGGAAGACCTTCACCACTCGAACCAGCCGCACCAGCCGGCAAAAGCGCAAGAGTGAGGCTCCAGTCATGTCCTGGCGACGTGCTTGTCGTGTGTTATGAAATATATCGACTTGACTCGACGATCTCTTTTTTGAGGGTGATCTTGAATGACTGTGACGTGGAAGGCAAGAGTTTCTCTTCAAGGCGTTTTGTTTTTGCAATATTGCGGCAGTATTATATATACTAATGATGTTATACTATTATAGAAGTCAATAGTAAAACGGTGGTTGTTTGGCTAAAAAATCATTACACCAGTAGGTAAGTAATCATGTTGTACTGGGGTATTCTTTTGGTGCATGTAGCACCAGCTGCTGTAACAACCACTTCTTTCTTCAGCAATCAAAGTTCCTATTGCCTTCCTACTATCAGGTCATCCTATGATCCGTTGAGGCTTCCTGGCAAAATCGTGATCCTTCCCTTCGTTCAACCCGACTGAACGGTCAGCAAAGAAAAACAGCCAGCGCGGACCGTGGTGGACTGAACGGCCAGCTCCACCACAATGTCGGTGAGGCCGGTGAACAACAGGAACATGTCCTTGGAGGAGCAGCATCTTCTTAGTCGTTCAGAAAGAGGACGCGAAGTCAATCAGGACGAGGTAATGCAACAGAGTCTCTTTGCTGCAACTCAAACTCAGATCTGTTTGTGTTTCAGGATGTGTCCCTGAAAAAGGAGGCCTGTTGGCTTCACCTGGGCCTTTTGGCTTCACCAAACCCCGACCGGCGGGAAAAACAAAACGGAAGGCCGTGATCGGTACGTGACCGGTTTATCGCTTGAAGAAGCCAACAACAAACACCCTGCGGAACGCACGGCATTTGGAAAAGGAAGGCCATCTTCCATGGTTTTTGTTCAGGTTATGGAAGAGTCAGCTGGATCGGCTAACCCTACCTCACACCAAAGTTCTACCAAAGTACGATCGCGTGCTACACCGCTACACCTAATGACCTCAAAAAAAACTGCGGTCGCACAGCAAACTCGAACTCTAGCCAAATACACCAGACCAACAAAAACTCTAAAACGAGCTCCGCTAAGCACCATGGTTCGAAGAAGTTCCAGAACTTGTCTGAGCCGCAGAAGTAGGATTTGAGCCCTGACAAATGAACCCGGAGGCAAACTTCCATGATGAGGACCACCGCGAAGATCACCTGACTGGACCAAATACAAGGATCCCGCTGTGTCCACACGCGAGACACAGGAGTCAGTAGAAAAAGAAATAGTGTTGTTTTATTGTTCCATAAGAAAGGTTTGAACATGTCAATAAGATGGACTCTGCTGTTATAGCCGATGAAATGTCAAAGTATCCAGTCCAAATGTGAACATGTATCAGGCAAAAAGGAACACCCGGATGTATCGATTACAATGGTTCCAGATCGACGATCATCAGTGTACTTTCCGTGTAAAGAAACAACAACATCCCATCCCATGCGATTCTACAACCTCTTATATACTAGGCGTGCGGCCGCTGTGCAATGAGCAAATTTGTGTGAAACCCAATGTCGTTCAACTCAGTGGTGATGAACAACGCTGTCTCCAGTTTCCAGTGCGAGAGTGCTCATATCCGCTTTCATGCTAACCGGTGCCTATCCTGTTCCAACCCGTAAGGAAACAGGTCACGGGTTTGGAGGAACCGTTTTGGGTACCAAACAACTTGCATCTTCCGAATCGATGCCATTCTCGATACCCGAGAACAAAGACACGATGCACGTGCTTTGAAAAAACGCCAAGACCCAATTTTCCGGTGAAAACTCTGGGTATTATGTTCAAGGACCCTGGCTGTTCTTATGGTATGGGCAGCCAAGGACTCTTATATATATATAATGTCTGTATATATAGGCCATCGAAACAGCTGCATGCTGGTTGTATGGTGGTTGATCTAAATTCCTGCATATCGTTTGGGGCATCTTTCACTCACCTTTTGATCAACCAAGGGAGCATCTGTAGTAGGGCAAAAGTTGGAGCAAATCCTCATGCTACTCTCCATGTGGAACCGGCAGAAATCGCGACACGACAGAACTCGTCTCAGATCGCCTCCAAATAAATCCAGCCATCCCAGTCTTCCTGACGCTTCCGCGGAACAAAGCTCGTGTTGATGGAAGAGGTCGCGCCTTCCTTTTGCACTTTGCTGGTCGAAAAAGGTTCCATTTGGGAGCAGCAACTGAACCAGGCTTCCAAAAAAAACGAACCAAACAAGGGTTGGCTCGCTCCAAACAAAGCCTGAAAAAAAGGTTCCAGTGAGGTTGGATGATGAATCGAAAGAACCGGCTAAACAAGTGGCCAAGCGGCCTCCAAAAAAAATGGCTCACAAAACACCGACCCATGTACGATCATGACATGTCATACAGTATCAATAAATATATAACAATAAACAGTATCAATAATATTTCTATATGTTTGCATATACAGTATCCATACAGTATCAATATATTCTATAATCTATAATCCATGAATATCATATATATATAGTATATATATATATATTAAATAGATTGTAACTGACTATTGTGACTGTGACTGGTGTCTGCAACACACCCCTAAGACATCCTGAGACAACAAATCAATTTGCACCAAAACTAGTTTGCATAAGATGCAGAATGGAAACCATGAAACACGTGCGTCCTAGCCATAGCTATACGTACAATCGCTGTGGGAATTCCTGCACGAGATCCTGCGAGCCTTTTCCAAAGGATCTATCTTGAAGCCCCAAAGTGCAAAAAGTCAAAGCATCAACTCTGGACACGCTCCTGATCTGGGGTTGGAAACCGGACCTCCCATGTCTATCTCCCTCAACCAATCACCACATTCTCCGGAGTGGCGACCCAACGGCCATGGCCGGGCCACGTATCGTGGGTCGGTCTGGAAGCCGATCATGATGCCATTGGCCTTGTCAAATGTTGGTGTTAACTACACTTGTCAACTACATCGATGAATTTCCGTGTTGAAACCGGGCACCCGGTTAAGTAAATTGTAGACCCACGAACTGGAAGAACCTTCAGGTCCAGTGTGTTCATGGGCGGTTGCACCTCTAATGCAAAATATCCACCCGCACCGAAGGTGCCGGGGCACGATCATCCAGGCTGCGAGGGGGGGCATCATAAGACAATATTGCAATACTGTAGGCTTTAGCTGTGAGGAGGGCCTGTATTCAACTCAAAACCCTATTGTTGTCAGATGTTGTCAGCATTGTTGAAGGACAACAACTATATACGTACAATTATTTTTACACCATTCGATTGAGAGAGTGTGTGGCATATTGCATAGTGCTCTCATAGAGACCAGGGTACCGCACGGTACCCGGTCAAGGTTCTCATGACTGACCGAACAGAAATAGCTGGTTTGGTGCACCAACTACGTCGCTGGAAACATTCCAAACCCAAATGACGTAATGGATAGCATGGAGCTGTTCGGACGACTGCACAGCCAACGCAGAACTGGACCTGGGAGCGGCGTGTGCCACCAATGTGGTTCTCCATTTGACATGCAGAACATTTGGAATTAAACTTGGAGAAAAAAAAACAGCAGAACTTCCAAGTGTTTGGGCGAAGGCGTAGTGGTTGTTCTTGCCCGAGTTTAGATTTGCGTGAATAAAAACACGTTCCAACGCATTCCAAGCGGGATGAAGAAAAACTGGAGAGCCAAAGGAGATCAACAGTAAGCCTAACTAGTTGGTCAGCTGTTAGAAGCCCGTTCATCCAGTGAACATTGTTTTATGTAATATGTCATCTGTTTCATTCACACTGCGTGGAAGGATGAACCTGGCATCCCGCGTAAACCCGCAGTCACGTCCCGAAGGGTGAAACTGGTTGGATCACGCCCGATCACTCCCAGAGGAATAGATGCTGGGAAGCTAAACCCGAAGGAGCAAACCCCGTTCGTCATACTCGATTTCACCACATCCAGCCTTTGATTCCTCGAGTCGCCGCTGGATTTCAATGCCTGAAGTTCCTTCAAGGTCCTTCCTTGCCAAGTCACCAGAATCAGAACGGCCACGAAGGGCTCCTGAGAGGGATCGTAGATGCATTCGGAAGAAGGCAACAGCAGCATTAGTAACTAGTTTATTTTTGCTCAGACTGCAATCTGTAAGAATCTGTCATATGCTGCGTTCGTTGGATTCGATGTAGCCACATGGAACAAGATCCTCAAATCCCGACATCCTATGAGAACTCTTGGATCCGCCTTTCGTCAACTCTGGATGACGCCGTTTCCGTCATTTCTGGAACGACGAGTCGACGCGAGAAGAGCATGAAAAGAGATGATGAACCCTGAGCCTGGTAGTCGACTTTCTTTTGGTCTTGAGATGTCTTGAGTCTTTTGGTGACCCGACTGAATCGGAAAATATACCCGACTCATATCGGGATATCCTTTACTTCGGTGGGGCCAAAGTAGAGTCGAACTGGACATCAGGACAGGTTCTTCGATAGCTGTACTTTTTAAGTTTCCCTATTTTTCTTAACACCCAATCAATAGTGCGAGCTCTTCTTCAAGGAAGCCGCCTTTAGGGCGGCGGGGGGGAGTTTCCTTGAAGAAGCGTGAGCTATCCTGCGTCCATAATAATAGTATATAGTAGCCTACTTGCAGGTAGTAGCCACCTCTCCCTGCTACCCTACTAGCTACCTTTAGCGGCCTACACCGCCCGGGCTTTAAAACAGAAAGCTGTGGTGTTATTGACTTCTAGAAGAATCTGTGAGAAGAGGACAATGTCCAGGCCGGTGTCCCTCAAAGGAATGGACAGGCCCAGTGGATTCCAGTTGGCACGGCGGAACTAGGAACCAGGGTTTCGAGTTCTTCATTTTTTTCCGCTGAAAGCGATGGTTACCATTTATAATATAACAATACTTTAAATATCTAGGGATTCCACTGGGAGGGTCATTCAACATGGTTGCTTGAAATTATTGGCGGACTGCATCAAGTGCACTGCTTCCAATCTGGCAAAGTATCACGGTCCAAGGGGTTTCGTTACCTAGTTCTAATGAACGCCCAAACGCTTCATCCGTCGCCAGTCTGGGTCAAACAAGCCGGAATTGACCGAATTCTTCACTCTTCACTTTCACAGAGGATATCCCTCCCCTTTTCTCAAGGAGTCCTCTGCTTCCGCAGATTGCCATAGGTTTGGGGGGCATCCGCCCTGCGGGGGTCATTCAAACAAGTATTTGCCGACACAAAGCTCTGAGGTATTCCCTGAAGAAGGTGGAATGTCAGTTGAGCTTAAACCACCTCAAACCGATTCCAGTCACTGCCACTGTCACGGCGAATCCTCCCCCGTTTCTCTCTCTCCCCACTCTCGACCGAGTCTCAATAAAGATCAGCGGGTGGATCTTTTCTGGAGGAGCTGCCAAGTCGTTAATTCGCACCTCATGAGGTGCTTCCAGAAAACCCATCGGAGCTTAGGCTACAGAAGATGAGATTCTAATATATATATACCTAGAACCTGAATGACCTCTATTTTGGACCACCAACCACCCAAAATATGGCCTTTTTTCTATCAAAACAGGGGTCATTCAGGTTCCAGGTATATATATATATATGATATATTATGATATTATGTCAGTTTTGTCATCCTGAGAAATAATATATATAAGCTGATCATGCATCAGCAAACATCACTATATATAAGCTGATCATGCATCAGCAAACATCACTCCCTAGCCACAGCCTTGCTAGCAGCTAGCTTAGCAGCTAGCAAGGAATTTGTGTGGAAAGGAATTTGCAAAGATCTTCTTCACCCCCCGTCTTGGGTCCATTCCGAGGCATCGACGCCGGGTCCACATAGGCCCGCGTCTCCCGACCCGACGTGGAACCGACCACTGTTGTTCTGGATGGGACACGTCCATCACCTTCCTCCTGTTTAAATCAGCAAGTCCAAAACAAATCTCAGATAGCCCATACTTTACATCATTGAAAGATATTGAAAGCCACCAGATTCTTCAGGTGACCTCATGGCAATCCCACACCCACTTCTGCTCCAAACAAACCTTCCGCCGCGCGTCGAAGGTCAGCTCCGCCACCAAACGATTGGTATCTCCCGCCAAAAGGATCTCCTTCATCGCCTGGCCGGTCCGACTCGAGTCGGAAGTCGTGACGCAATCACGTGGACCTCCCAGTCCCACCGAGGACTCTAGCAATTCAACTGGTATATATATATATATATATACCAGGACCCTCCAAGGGGTGTCCATTTATAGCCCCTTAGCTGTTAAGGGGTGTCCATTAACCACCCCTTGGGGGTCCTGGTATATGAATATAAGTGTCCTACCTGCACCCCCTTTGCAACCACCCTGAATGTAGGTCAATATGCCAGTCCCACGGAGTGTCTGGGAATGTCTGGGATGTAGAACTGGCCGGTCGGAGGTTGGTCTCCGTCTTCCACTTGGTGCAGGAAACCCGAACCCGAAAGGCAAACAGCTTGGGGATATGCTTTCATCACACCCCTTCGATGGAAAGTGCTTTCGGGATTGGAGTTCCAGGAGTTCCGAGACTCACGAGAGAGTGGATCAAATGATGAGCTCGAGACTCCAAGAAAGACCCTGGCAACGTCACAAAAATGTGTTCAGGACCACAAAACACACACCACTTTAGTCGACTGGTTGCTGCTTGATAAGAGCAGCACCGGCTGCAGTGAGCTGAAACCAAACAAACTGCCGGCCAAAAGTGAGATTGGTGTGGTACAAACGTGTATCTTCAGGGTGTTACACCACACTACACCCCTGGAAGTTTCACTCAAACCAAGGATTCTCGACCACAGCCAGGATTGCCCATCTCAGCGTCAAATACATCACACTCTCAGTTGCATGGTTTGGAGCCGTTTTGCAGCACGGGCACCAGTTCGGGCAAACTGAAGGTGGCACATAGTAAGAGGGTTATTGTTCGGTGTCCTTTAAAGTTTTCTCACAAACATCACCTGTGGCAAAACGCGCACCTGGGTCAAAGTCTCAGCAAACCCATGTGGAAAAGCAACAAAACACGACTACAAAAGTCCAAGTCAGTATAAACAAATGTATGACTTGGACAAGTATACTACTTGGGTATGTCCAACACACTACAAGATCTTTGGTCCCAAATGCGCCGTGGACATACCCCGACCTCATACTGAGTCATCATGGGAGCACCAAAGATCTTCTTCAGGAGCTCTTTGTCCCTGAGTGATGCACGATCGTTTTTTTCGTCCCATCGTGTCTGGTCCACAGTAAGAGGGTCTGTTGTCCCCCAAATAATGTGTTCTTCCGTGTGCCAAACACAGTCTTACAGATTATAGTTTTCGATAGCTTTGATGTCCAGTGTGCATGATAAACAAATATATAGACATCTCAAATTTGATATAGTTAATTGCCTTGGATATAGGGTATAGGCTGGTGCAAAAACTCAAGATGCAGTTCAGATCTGGCCGAGAGATCGGACCCATCTGTTCATTCAGTCTTCTGCCAGTCGTGATTGGACGATTGGACCAAATCAAAATATGATCCAGCAATGGGTAATGGATATATATATATAAAGAAAGGATAGTCTTTCAATTGAAATGTATATCTAGTAATTAAACAATTCCTCCCACACAAACACGCACATATCCCAGCCTAAGGAAACTTGCTGATATGGTAAATGTTGGGTGCCAAACAAAGCAGCACTGAATATGCGTGCTCCCACGGCAAAGAAGATGTGACTTTTATGCGCGGGAGGTAACAGTGTTTGTGAGATATGATCAAGAGAGGACTTCGCCAACAAACATACATCCAATGGCGATGGTGATGATGGTGCTGAAGGATCTTGGCCAAAGTTGTGTGCGAGAGCTTTACCCTTTACACTCCCTCAAATAATGATGGAAGTGGATGACCGATTTTCTCTACAAACAGGTGGCTTTTCACCCATCAATTCTTTCAAGGAGTGTAATAGTTGGACAAGTCTCACGAGAATACGCTGTCTAGCATCTCAATCTCCGGGGTGTCTGATAGACCAAGTTGGACATGGAAGGTACTGGTCCTCTGATTTCTCTATACAAGAATTGGGGCAACGGAAAGGGTCTGCTTCGGTTCCAGGGAGGTCCAAGGAATTTCAAGGATTAAGACAGGCAAAGCAACTGAATCGAATCACTTGAGCAAGTTCTTGTAACTTTAGGTCACATCCAAAGTTCGATCAATCCGCTCTCCAACTGTGCCACGGCAACGCCGTTTTGCGTGGCGTAATTAAAAAAACACGACTCTGCAGCCAGGCAAGATTTCGAGCGAATGTACCCCGCCTAAACTCAAGTGGACCATTAAGGTGTGTACCGGTTGTTGTCTTCAAGGCATACCGGTATACCTGGTATACCTGAAGCTTCCTTCGCTTATAAGCAAAGAACAACTCCTTTCAACAAGTGCTCATTCAAGCAAAAAGGCCCAGAATCACTCAACAGTTGCGCGGGGAACCCCCTCACAACCAACCCATTTTGGGGTGGTTCGCAAATTGTTCAAATTGGGTGTATTTTGTGGCACTTTGCGTACATTTTCTGGCCATGTGCATGCATTTTGCGGGTTTCCACCTTTGACCCAATGCCAAGACAAAATCAGTCAGTCTTCAGCATCTTTAAAGTAATAACAACAAAAATCTTTGAACACCAATAAACTGTGTGCATTTCAAACAATAGAACAAAAACGAAAGTCAAAGAAGCGATCAAACCTTGGGTTCGGCAAACAAAAACGGTGCTACAAAATGCAACAAATAAATGTATACGATGGTATATGTGTGTTTTCGCATGTGCTCAGCGCGCACCTTGTGAGCCTTGATGGATAACGTGTTTATTGGCAGCCAGTGAAAGGGAGAACTGAACAGTACATCTGTTTCTTACATCTTTTTCTAGCAACAATCTATGGCTATCAGAACTGATCAGCCCTCATCCCCGTTACAGGCAGCCAGCTGCAGGTGTAGCTTGAAAACATAACACACCGGTTTTGTTCTGTGTCTCATCCAATTCAAATTCTCTTCCGTCACCCTCTTGGCACCGTGGGACGACTCTCCCACAAAAGACCCACCCGACGGTCGGACCGATCCCCCGATGGCCGGAGCACTTGGTGACGAAGACATCGCTTAAAGCCTTCAAAGGCACCAAATTCCTGGGCAGGAGTCCAGCGAAATGGAATTCAGTTGACTCGAGGGCACACCCAAACACTCATAGGATTTCAAGAATTCTGATCTCAAAGCTTCAAATCCTGGGCCGACGTTTGACAGTGATTGAAGAATTGTCAGAATGCGTCGTTGCCCGAGCTTGAACAACGCAACATAAAACCCAACATGTTTACCGCATGCTGCTATCAGCAAGGAACTCCTTCGTACTCACCACAATTGGATCATTATTAATTCATCCCTGCATAATACAATCATGTCCTAATTGTCTTATGCACGATTTCCACTCCACGTCACAAATGCTTACTGATGATCACTGACAGCGACAAACCAAATCGGCTTGTTAGCCTCCCACAGCATGGAGTTGAAAAAACCCAAAGCGTTACTTGGTACAGCTTGAGCCATTCTTGAAGCCCAAACACTCTGCACTCCCCGAACCTGTCCGACAACAAAAGAATGATAGGGATGACGTCTAAATCTGCCCATGGCCAACCAGGTTGGCACAGAATAAACACAGAATGGGGACAGCAACACTTGGGTGCGACACATGGCTGTGGGTCGAAACCTCACCTTACAAACCATGGGAAGTGAACATCCCTCATAGAGGAATCTGTTCATTTTCACGAAAACTCCAGAAGCTACATGATCTGGTGAAGCCTCAAAGAGCCCAACAGTGGCGATATGATCGATATGATCTGCTATCGAGGTAAAGTTGCTTAGAAAGTCTGCTCGCAACGTTTGTCATGCGTTTATAGAATGGTGTTCAAAACCTTAGCAAAACCAGCTCGAGTGTCTTTTTCCCTAGAAATACCTTGCCGAGATGCATGTACATCTGCAACAAATTAAATGGTATCATGTCAGCTCATCTCTGTTCAACAGAGTGTGTGCGGTGAGGTAAAGCCAAGAGACTTGGCTTCCTTCGGCTTTTCTCCGTGATCCTTGCTGCCCTGGCCGACGTGGGTTATTCAATGAACCTTTCCAATGGATGGACTTGCTCAAACTTTGATCAAATGCTACAACACTCCGGAAAAGAGCCAGGATCTTCTCTTGTGAGACTCGGAAGCCTGTCTTTCTAAAACAAGGCCTGCCATGAAAATTGTCTACAAGGGAGAGGGGCATGGTACGCAAGAGATCAGTCTCCCATGCGACGACGGCAGCATGTTTCACCACTGTGGTGGAGATTGAACACATCAGACCGAACGTTCAGCCAGCAACAGGCAACTGAATGGACATGACTGATGACAACAAAGAATTCACTCATTGGTGTGAAGCTGTGAAAGCGGCCAGTTACGCCACCCGGCTTCTCTGCATCATCGGACACGACGAGAAGACCAAACGGAGAAGACGTGATATATGTGCCCTGCACGTCTCAAGGGACGTGCAGTGTGCCGGCGAAGACAAAGAAAGAAGGCTGTGCGGCTGTGCCTTCTAAGATCTTCTAAGCATCTGCAGCAGTTTCAAGGTTAAATGATGAGCCTGGGATCACAAAAGAGCCTGAGGAATCCCTGCAAAGCAGCCCAACACACCCTATGACCAAAAGAAAAACCACACTGGGAACAGCAATCCCCCCTCTGTCGTATCCCTCCCGCCCGACTCGTCTCGCCTGAATTGACTCATCTCCCTGCGGCCAATGCCACACCTCAATTCGTGTCGCATCACAAAGGGAAAACATACTAGAGCAGTAGAGTAGAGCACTCAAGCACTAGAGCAGGATGAAAGGCATTTTACGGAAGCATTTCCTACTCTCTTAGTTTCCCTGGAAAGCTTCAAAGCTTCACACCCGACGTCACCCACTTCTGTTGGATTTGAGTGGGGTGTCTCCAATCCGCCAAGCCGTTCCTTCTCGAGCAGATTCTCCCCTTTTCCTGGGAATGTCTGACAGGTCCTGACCCCAGTCTACTGATCTCTGCGTGTGCAGTAGTGCAAGATGCATCGTTTGATCAGGAATGCGTGTGAATCTGCATACTTCTCCCATGGTATCCTTCATGCTGTGAAGATCAAACTGCGCTATTTCAGTAAGTTACTGCACATTGACTGCAAAAAGCATCAAAATTAGGTTGTTTCCAGATACTTGGCTTACAATGGCTTACACTCTGATCCACTAGCATGGAAGTGGATGGCATAGGCCCCTCAAAAAAGACTTACAGTAACAACTTAATGAACTTCATGGTTTTTCCACTTCTGCGAACCGTGGCTGGGAGACAGTGGAAAACCCACCCACCCAGTGAGCTTCTGTGTTCCACCCACCCACTGGTCCCAGTGGAGTGCAGCTTGTATCCCAGCAGCTGGTCGGCCCAACAGGTCTCGATGTTCGTCTTGAAACTGGAAGACCTGGTCGCACCAGTCGGACGGAGACGTCTCCTTGGAGACCGTCTCCCGGGGCGTGCCCGGTTTCTCCCGCGGGCCACCGGTCTCCACGGTGGAGCCACCATGCAAATGTGAGCGGCATTCTTTTGAGTTCTCTATCTTCAGGGAGACGAATTGGTTGTAGCTGGCCGGCTTAGTCAAGGATCGGATAGGGCCACCTGCAAAAGTAATTTGACGAAGAACAACGGCTGAATGTTGCTCTATTGCTCTATACTATTGTTGTTTCCTCTTGCCACAGGAGAAAAAAGGACATCAATTACAGTATCCATGTTGCAGTTGCATTCCATGAATACACATATATATATATATGCTTTATATAAATACAAACCATTATGAAAACAATATTTTATGGAAACCTCAGGAAGTAACTTGAGCAAATCGATTTTTGTCAACACGTGGTGCATGGGGAAGCAACACCAACATTCACCAGGAACCGCTTCAATTTCTCTGGAAGCAGGCATTTTTAGGCTTCAAAGCTTGTGTCTGAATAGTTCAATGGGCAGCTATTTCCTTATCCTCTTTCCGCATCGCGAGGCTTAAAGCACCTCGATCCAAAGCACCCTGTTCGGAGGCTCAAAAAACATGTATAGACAATGGATTGAGATGTCATGGAAAGAGTACATACCCAGGACCCATCTGACCCTTGTTTTGAATAGAATCTCATGAAATATTTTGGACGCTCTCCATTCTCCATAACAACGGTTGCCCAGATTGATAGATTGCAGTCTGCAGCTTGTCCCAAACACTAAAGTCCTGACTATGGGTTCGTAGAGGTCCCCTAGATTCCCCTATCAAAAGTTTGATGCTTGTTTGTTGAACTGTTGCTGAACGAGATGCCGGATGATATGCGCAACGCAAAAACACATCCGGCACCTCTGATGTGATCCAACAAACCGACGATCGATCTGCCATTCTGTCCACCAGGTCTGGGGAAAACAACTGATCTGCCCCTCGAGTCACATTGTTGGAGGAATGACTGCGTCGGAAGCCATTCTTTCCCTCCTGGCGGACGGTTTTTCTGCTCGCCACCCTTCTCCCGTGATGATCAGCGATTCGATCCTCGCCCAAAAGAGGGGGTCAGCTCGACGAGCTGCGCGCGTATGGCTGATGGCTGCTTCACTTATATGTGTTTCTCTTCATTTCCTTTTTGGTCTTTGCTACCTTGAGTGGTTGCAATCCACATTACGGAGTCCTGCAGGGCTGCTAGCCTGCCATGAAGAAGATGGAGGCTTCACAAAGCAAAATCAATGAACTGTGCAAACTAGCGTTTCAAGATTTTTGATCGGCAAGTCTCTCACTTGCGACACCAAAACTGGCTCACTTGCGACACCAAAGCCTACCCTGGACAGACTCACTTGCGACACCAAAGCGGACTCATTTGCGACACCAAAACAACAACAACAACAACTACAACTACAACTACAACTACAACAACAACAACAACTACTGCTACTACTACTACTACTACTACTACTACTACTACTACTCATAGGCACACGGACACACCTTAAAATATGGATTTCGTGGCAGGCGCGGGTGTCGGAGATGAAGTGCAGATTTCGTGGCGCGGGGGGGGTTGGGGGGGGTGAGCGCAGCCCCCCCCCCAGCAGCACACCAAATCCAAAGGTGAGCACGGGCGCGTCACAAGTGAGCTAACAGCTCCGCGTCACATGCGAGTCCGAAATCCGCGTCACAAGTGAGACCCTTTCCGTTTTCCACATGATGCTTCAATCTCCGACCAGCCAAAAGCACCTTGCATTTTTGCACACGGGTTCACGGGAAAAACAAAAACAATTAACATATCCTAATTTACTACTGACCACATTTGGATCTTGGGATTCCAAAAACTACTGGCCATTCACATCCAAGATCCACTTTCCCATTGTCTGTCCATAGAACTCCACGGCTGTGAGCCGTGGCTGTGAAGTTCGACGTGGATCTGGGGCCGGGCTGGCAAAACCGAAGTTGGCTATGCCAAACTGTTGCTCCTTCTTCACGAAGCGCAGTTCGATGTAGTCTGCCAGGGTATTGACCTCACAGGGTCGCAGGGAGAAAAGCGGAGTTTTCGTCTGTTGCAACCCGGTTGAAGAGTGGTCTGTATAGGTAGTACTGTAGGTAGGTACAGTAATAAGTAGGAGCTACCGGTATGAAATATCGACGATTATAGCACACACCCTAAAATCCACACCACGAGCATATGGCAGTTTCAGGAAGGAATGCCTTGTAAATACAATAGCGGAGCCGGTGCAGTGCAGGACTAAGACCCCCAAACACACCCGGTGCTGGTTTTTGTGCTCGATTGGTTTCAAGTTCTGTAGTCGCAGTGCGTTCTCCTATAATATAAGAGTCACAAGGGGGATGCATCTTGATAAGAGTCAGATGTCTTCTTGCTGCAACAGCAGGGAACCAATGGTTCCACCTCTAAACATGAATGCATTCCTTTGAATGACTAGAATTGTAGAATCCTGGAAGATCCAGTGGGGAGCAAATGACTTGTCAGGTCCTCTGCTGAATAAACCAAACGAATCTCTTTCAAGGCGGTCACAGTCTGTGTCTTGATTCTTCATACGTAGCCTTTCCACCAGCATTTGGTGCGGAAAAATCAACTTCTATATGCGTCCAATGGAAGAACAATCATGTCACATCATCTGGACACTCCACAGTGGCAAAAAGGACCACAGGGCTTCTATCGCAGTGGTTGAAACAAAATTACAAAAACTTCCAAAAGAACGAAGGGAATTGCCAAATACTCAGTCAGAGATACAAGGAGCTCGAGGGGCCTGGCAAGGGGCCGGTCTAGGTGTCATTCGTTGGATTCGGATCCGACTAGGACCTCCCAAATCCAGGGCTGGCAACATTTGGAATACCAAGCGAAGAAAGCAAAACTCGCAGGTTCCTTTTGTTGATCACACTCATCAATAGTCACCAATCTTATCGCAGCTAAATGAAACCATGCGACGCATGGTTAAAAAACTGCCACAAAAAGAACCAGTCACTGGTGCCACCCAGGGGCGAACTCATTCATATCATCCTCCGTGTAGGTCGTGAGACCCAACCTCAGAGATCAGCTTTGGCGGCGATCCGTGGCCGAAAGGTGACCCGGGAGGAAGGAAGGTTCTAACCCTACACCTCCAAGTGCTTGGACCCTCCAAACCCACCCCAAACACCTTTTCAGAAGGTACTTGGAGGCCTAGGGTAAGATAGTTCTAACATTCTCCGCTATACAGTATATTTGGATGTGGACCTGTACTGATCAATGTGCACTTATATATTATATATATAGGATCACTTAGGTATGCTTTGCAGTGCACGGACTGTACCGAACGATGTCTCATTGCAAGACCATCTTGAAGGACCTGTTTTTTCTGGTATCATGAGGTATATAGTGGAAAGTCATCCAAAACAGCCTCCAGTGCAAAAAACTTTGGCAATCAAAAATGCAGCGGTCTGGCGGGTTCACCTGCAAACTTGGTGCAATAAGACTTGCTAGTTGCCCACCTTATCACATTGCCCACCTGGAATTGGGAGTGGGTCAGTCCCGGAATCGTGCTTTCCACACATTGGATTGCAACCCTTAGTTGTGTACTCGCAAGTTGTAGGGAGAGTCCACCGCTGAAGCGGTGGTCCCCATGATTGTTGGGACCTCAGTCCCAGCTTTCGTCCTAATCCATCGGATGAAAACCACCAGGTCAAGGAATCAATCACTCCATCCCAATGAGGAGCCTGCGGAGTGTCTGCTCAAGTTGATTCCCCAACCGACGAGTATGTGCCTACATTGCCCTCAAAACGTCATGAGTCCACTCCCATTGCCCTCAAAACGTCATGTAGGCAAACACCAGTCCCATGGATTGTCTGGGATTGACCCACAGAAATCTCTCACAAAAAACAGTCCTTGGGCGGTTTCAACAATCCAGGCCAGCAGGCGCTTCCACCGTGTTCACGAGGAGCTTGCCTGCAACAAATGCCAGCCATGCGTTGGTGTTTTTGAGGATGCTAGGCGGAAAACAATATAATTCCTGTACAATAGTAATGCATATATAAATTATAGATGCCGCACAAAACATAGAAAGAGAAGGATGCTCTCCGACAAGTGCTGCTTTCGGGTAAACGCCCATGTGGTTGGTTCCAACAATGTCATCTTTTCCCAAAATGGTGCACTCATCGCAATTCCATGGGGGCCCGCATCTAAATCTCCTTTAAACTCCAACCACACTCAAAACACAGGGATGTTAAACATGAAGGCATGTCAACTGCAAAAACTGTGAGAGGTGTCTAGCGCGGACCTTTTCAGGGGCCTGTTGAGCTGCTGGAGCTGTTGTTGCTGCTACTGCTGCTGGTGGACTTCTGCAGTTGTTTCCAATTTTTGTTCCCAGAAATCTTCAGGACGACATAGGAAGGATGTAAGAGCTGACTCAAAAGATTTGGATGTTGGATGGGCAAATGGTCATGAAATGGACCGTCGTCTAGCGCGGTGCTAGCGCGGATCTAGCGCCAGCTTAGCGCAAAAATCTGTGTCGATTTCTTTATCCTGTCAGATTCTAACTTTTCCTGCTTGCTTGTCTTCTTCTTCTTCTTCTTCGTCTTATTCTTCTTCTTCTTGTGCGTTCTTCTTCTTCTGCTTTGATTTTCTTTTTCTTGTCTTGCTTCTTCTTTTTCCTGCTCTCTGCTTGTTTATTTTTTCCTGCTTGTTTATCCTGTTATGAAGAAATCTAGCGCCAACCTAGCGCCAATCTAGCGCTGCCTTGCTGTATCACCATAGTCTGCTGGGGGCCCACTTCTAAACGAAGACTTAAAAGCACATCTCCAACCTTAAAAGTTTACGTTTCTCTATATGTTTGAGTAGGGCTTTTTGAGCGCAGTCCATGTACAAATAGGGCGTTCTAACTGGAGATTATGGTTGGAAGCTCTCACAACAAAAAGAACATGCTTCAACATTGGCGTTATTCACATTTTAAGTCATCTTTAAATTTGGCACTGATGCTGTCATGTTTCCACTTTGTCACAAAGCAAGGCTCTTGTGTGTGTGTGTGTGTTTTTTTAAGCCGTTGGTGAAGAAACACATCAAAATCATCGAACACCGGCTGTTGCAGCACACAAACACGGCCAAGTCCCTGCTTCTCCGTGCGATTGTCTCGTCTGTGTCGGTTGAACGCCGACTTCAAACAGATTTGGAGTGTCTTTCCGGACTTGTGTTTTGGTCGCTTCGATGCGCGGAGAAAAACGGCGCCTGAGATCAACTTGTTCTTGTTCATCGCGCCGAGCCTCACCTGCAGGCGATGTCGAATGGCCTGCGTGGCGCCTCAGGTGCGGAGAAGGCCCATCGAAGGCCCTCTGGAGCTGCAGTATGAGAACATGACTGATGTCACACAATATGAGTAATACTCTGAGTAAAGTCATGTAAAGTCGTCATGTCAGTTCTGAACTGTCTTTTGCGAAGTGATGAGTCATAAGGAACAAAAGTACATCACTCACTTTGCAAGATTCATGCCCAGCGACGAGGTCGGTCCTTTTCATGGTGTCTTGAAATGTGTCGTAACTGTTGTACATAGTCTTGTATAGATCGGGTACAAGAAGATTCATAACAACAGTGCTTATTGGTTTTGCCTTGTAACACCTTATTATATATACATGTGTTGGTTCTATGCATCACAGCATGTTGTTCCTAGAACTCGACATAACTCAACCAGTGTCGAATGCACTTCACGATTGCATAGAAACTTGGCCAACATATTTGATACACATCATTTATAAAGCAACGGATAATACCCTGTATCGCCAAAGACTGCTTGGCAAACAACATGTACAGTATCTCCCAAACAAATCCATACCTCTCTGACCCCTGTTTGACGCTTTAGGCATGGAAAGGCCCAAGTTTTGGGTCGTTGGTACTCCAAACCATGGGTCACACAGGCTCTATAGGCATGTAACACATGCAATATTACAGTAATTTGCTTTGCTTTGCCATGATTGAAGTTGCTATCATTCTTCACCTACCTACCTACTCCCTCAGTTTCCCTTGTCAAACAGCAAGTTAACCATGCTTTCCACTTGTTGGATTTGAGTGGTGTCCTGAAGGTCCTCGCCAATCATCCACTTTCAGTCAGAATCTACCAGAATCTAAAAATATTTGCATGCAAAAACAGTTACTTACTACACATTGACAGCAAACACCATCAAACCATGGATTTCCAGCAAGGCTGTGAGGACGCCCTGAGTTTGCCCTGCGAATCATTCTTCTCCCGTTCCTCAGCTTTCTTTGCATGCAGAATAAACATCTCTCTCCCTCTACTCTACTCATTCACTTTGTATGCACTTTTGCGCCTGGGCGCTGCTAGCAGTTCGTTTGCAGCGCAACCTGAAGGTTATTTTGCGGCACTGAATCCCCCAACAGATTGCATCACCCAGCGGCTGTCGCTAATTTCCTTGGAGACCTGCTCATCGTTCTCCACGTCATTTTGGCCCTCAAAAAGCAGCGACTGCCGCCGTTTGGAAGGGTGCGGTCCTGGCGTTTGCCCCACCACTTCCCTACTAAGAAACCTGGATATAAAGACTGGTGGCCACTGCCTAGACTCCTTGAATCTCAATTTACACATGAAAAAGAAACACAAGAACAAACTCATGATCTCTCAACATTCACATGGCCAGGGCGCGAACATACTATGCACATCCAGGATTTGACCAACTCAAAGAACTCTGTAGAGCTGGGCAGCTGGTCATTGATGGATGAAGAATCCATAGTTTTACAGTAATTTTGTCTCCGGGGGACCGTAGATTGATGGCTTTTTCTAGTGCCCAATGACCTATAGATTGATTTTCTAGTTTCCAAGTAAGGATCTTCCATCACCGAGCATGATCTCAGGACTTTCAAGGATATATCTTTACCATTATTTACAGCGCATAAGGTTCATCATTCCAATCGTATAAGAAATCAGTCACCGAAAGAACACGCTGAAAGGCCGGGACACTTCGAAGATGCTGTCCGCCTCCGACTGTTGTCGCAACAAGTGCTCGAAATCCGGCGGAGGCGCCACACCCTCGACCTGCCAGCTGCAACACAAGCTGTTCCGCGCGAGCCCCCGTTCCAAGTCATCGTGAATCCATTGGTGAATACATCCTGCAGACCCCCGTGCTAACACGGAACCTGAGAATTGATCCCCGTAGGCAGGGTTGACACCCAGGAGATGTTCACCATTGTTCGACCATCCAACATGTCCGAAGATCCGGAAGCCTCCGTGCCACTGGCAGCCAGCTTTCGATGACTCGGGTTACCTCCCCTGCTGAGGAAAGTAGTACTCAAACACTCCATGTAAGTATGGCATATGTACCTACACTCACCCCAGTTCAACCACCCCAATGTATGTACAGTAAATGTTCCATACATGGAGTGTCTGGCCGGGTAGGAAAGTTGAGTTGGATCCATCTGCTAGCATGGCTTATTCCTACATCGACGGTGGTTTTCCAACATCTCCGGGCTGGTGCCTCGCAGACCCAAAAACAAAGGGGTCTGGTTGGGTAGCTTTTCCCTCTTGATGTTGCTCTTGACTCTTGAAACCGCATGAAAGTGTCAAAACAATCACAAGAGTTCTAGGACTGAGTGTGGTTTCGGACTGAGGTTGGAGGCGAGTGCAATGCCGTCATTTCGTCCAAATCAGGTAGCTTTATCTTTACACCATTGTATTGTATTTGTTCCAACGTTACAAGTATGGTTCACGTGCAAATATATGCAACTATCATATCATGTGGTTTTGGGGATCTTAAAATATGTCAAACCAACACTCATAATGCGGATATACTACATAATGCTATATATCTGGAAGTTTGAAACGGAGCTTCCCTGTTGTCCGCCTCACCCGGGGCGCCGGCCTCGACCTCGACCGGCACTTCGCTCAGGGCCTTTACGGGTCTCACGATCAAAACCGGTCCTGTTTGTAGGTGGAGGCCATTGCTATTAGGTTAGAGGCCAACGCTACTAGTAACAAGAAGCTACTGGTACCTTAGTAGCTGTTACTAAGAATAAACAACCTCTCGATGTTTCACTCATCCATGTTTGTTCGACTTTACCCTGTTTGCGACCCTTGACGCATCTAGTGGCGTGATTTCTTATGAAAGGACACGTATTCAGCAGAATACACTGGCACATTATGCCAAATGGCTGCGATGGTCGCATCCGTACACTGGATTGCAAACAGGCATGTCTTAGAGTGGGCAGCACCATCAGCAAGAATGAACTGATCAGCCATCCCAGCTCCAAAAACTTCAAGTTTTGTTGACTTCCTGCAAAGAACACTTACGGTGGCCCATAGCAAAAAGGATCATTTCTGGCCAGCAAAGAACACACACACACATTGTTGGCCAGCAAATTCTCCCTTTCTTCGGTCTGCACGACCGTAAAAATACCCGTGAAGGTCGGCCAGGTCGGCCCAAACAAGCTAGAGCATGTGTCCGAACCTTCCCCACGGAGTCCATTGGACTCCCGCCCGATTTTACTTTGGCTTTGTCCGTCCGTTTCGCTCGCAAAACACCTGTGCCTCATTGACTTTCTCCGAGAACGAATGCAGTGATTGCAGTCGTGTGGGCGGCTGCGTGTGAAGCAGCTGAACCTGAGACCCAGTGACCCCATGGTGAATGACCCAGTGGCCCCTTGATGCTAAACACTAAGTGGTGCTGAATGTGCTTTCTATTCCGATCTAGCCGATGTATCTCCACCAAAAAAAAACCTGTTACACTCCATGTAAGTAATTATTGCATATTTGTCTATTTCACCGCAAATCCACCGCCCCAATGTATGCAACTCTGGGTCTCTCCGCCCCTTAGAATTTGTGCTTGATTCATCCTTGCGCAACACTCTTACTCTTAGCTGACTCTTGCTCTGCAAGAAACATGTTTAGCTTTTGTGTGACTCTTTTTGCACAGCGTTATTCCGTGTCGTCGGGTTCTCCGCCCGTCCCTGTCCGGGTCAGGTCGGACACCAAGCCGTTTCTGAAAAGAAGCTGAGGCAAACTGCAAAAACAATTCCGCCCATTTGGCAAGTTTTTGGGTGATCCACTGACTGGGTATAGGACAAAGACCAACGTCTTTTGATGCATGACCCAACTAATCCAAGCCACATCTTTGCTGGGCCTCATAATGATGTCATCTGAGCAAGATGCGAGCTGAGTCGAGGAACATGAATGCAATTTTGAGTGAGCCTCCAAGCACTTCAAATTTCCCCACGGTGACAACATGTATGCTAACTTTGAAGATCGACTTCAGCTGGCAATCTGCATCCACTGTCCCCTCGGGCCCTCAAGTCGAAGAAACACCACTGGAGAATTAACGAAACCGAAAGGATGTTCAGCAAGTGCCGATAGGAATTGATCTACGGGGCGAAGCATTCATCATTGATTTCACCATATTTCACCAATGTGTCATGTTTCTAGAGTATTCCATCAACGCCAACAGAACTTGTATTCTCCTACACCACAATGCAGGAGTAAGTGAGAAGGAAAGGTTCCAGTACCCTTGTGGACAATGCAAATGGATGTTCATCCACCATCCGCAACTGAGCTCTGTCTCTATCGAATTCTGCTGGCAATGTGGTTGTTTCTTTCCCTGCTGCTCAGGCCCCAGGACCTGAGTACTCTACTGTTGCGGAGTATTGTAGAGTAATTACCAACCACCATATATATATATATATGACATGTTCATGTTCTCAACATTGGAATCAAATGGGTTGTAGATAGATGTTTGGGATATTGCAAAAAAAAACAAACACTCCAAGTTCTTGCTCCGGTTTCAACCCAAGACATCACGCACGTCACCCGCCCTGCCGGTCCCGGGTCCCGTCACGCCTTTGCCATCGGAATATTCATTGCCCTTGGCAAGTCCTCGATTCCCACCCAGCCCAGGGCGGACCAGCCCAGGGTTCGGTGGTGAAGTGAATACGGCCCATCTTGGAGGTGAAACCCTTACGATGGAAAGGGGGAAGAGTGTTGATTGAACAATGGCCCAGGATGCAACATGTGCATCTGTACTGACTTAGTTAGGTACTTCTAAAGATCTTGGACTAGACAGTATGTACAGTACCAACCCTCAGCTGTGAAGGAACGATGTTGACTGGCGAGCCATAGATCGTCGTCGTCATATCTGCACCGGCCCAAATGCAGTAACTAACTGCGCCGGGTTGACTGGCGAGGCATCTTTGGGCCACAGTGTATTATGGTTACACTTGGTGTCGTGTTGCCATTTTGTGTGTGCGCGTGCGTCATTGCTTGTTGTCTGCTGTCGCGATTGTCCTGGTGTGTTGTCATGTCATGCCTTCCCGTTGTCTGTGTCATTGTTTGCCGTCTGCTTGGCAGTGCCAGGAAGACGAATTAGGCGTGTCAAGGTTGGCTGTCTGCGTCATGTCGGGCCACAGGCGGTGTGTGGAGTTCAGTGTTGTCACTGTGTTGTATGTCTCGTTGCTTCTTTGATCTTCTTTGTCTGTTGTTGTTACCTTTGTGCGTTGTATGTGTCATTGCTTCTTGTCTCTTGTCCATTGTTGTGCTTGTCATTCCACCGGCTGATGCGCTGCAACAAGGGGGTGGGTTGTCCAGCTAGAATCTAACTACTGCAATCCTTTCGGGCGGGAACAACACAATGAGCAAAGAGCATGCTTGGTCAATCAAACCGGGTGCGACTCTGGATCCACCATCTACAGGCAAAACTCCTCGTCCCAAAACCTGTCTAGGGTACATCATTACACCTGTCCTCTCTCCTTGTCTCTGCACGTGCGGATGCGAAGCTCCAAGTCATCACTGCCAAGTGGCCTGAATCCTTCGATCGCAGCCTGAGGCTGTGCACAAGGCATGCGCTGATCGCCATGTCCCGCATCCAACTTATATATTCTGAGGATATTTGATATTGGACAGTGGACACCATCAATGATCTACCTAGGTCGATTCTTTCTGTGCAACAACGAATCAGAAGGTAGATAGGTCGTTCGACCTGCCAGAGTTAGGGTGGTTTGTACCCGACTGGGTCAACTTGGGTCCCATGTCCTTGCATTCTCCCAGCTTACTGTATACTAAATTAATTACCCTCCCAGAGGATCCCAAGTACACTCTGAGAAGGTGATCGGGGCCACAA